TTTTTTCTAGTATCATAGTTCAGCTTAACCTACGAGTCATAAGTAATTGGACAAATGTTGAGCATTATTTCTATATGTTTCTAATGTGCTGAAAAGTTAATTATTTTTCCGTTGGTAAGAGCAAAGTCTGATCTTCAAGAAACATAGAAAATCAAACTTTTTGTGGTTGAGTTTGAGTGAGAAAAAAATTGAATTTCAAGCATCGCCAAAAAAGCTCTTGAAAAGTGCCTTTTTCTTTATTTCTTCGCTATGGACAGAAAGAGAAATCTTTCTTCAAAGCCCAATAGATGAGAATGTAGCACGTGCAAAACTCGATCGATCGTTCTACTTTCGAAAATCTTCCGGTAATTCGTTGATAGTAATAAAAGCATAGATAAAACTTTGTTTTGATGAAAAATTCTGCTTTGCAGCAGAAAGATAAAACATCAAGAAAATCTGTTTTATTCATAGCGCAAACGACGTTAGTAAAAGCCAACACTAATGTGAGTTTGTAGAGAATTGAACGTTGTTTCGAAAATTGTGTTTTAGCAAAATAACAGAGCTCGATCAGTATCTGAAAATCATTAATTAATTCTAATTAACTGCTTCTCTGAAACTATTCAAAAACTTGGCGATTTCTGGTTAAAAAGTGGATCAGAACATGATTTATCATACCCCGTTCGAAAGAGCAACAAAAATACTTCTAGTTTCTATAATTGGATAATTTCAAACATACTCAGTTATTGGAAAAAAAATACATTTGATAAGAGATAATCAAGAGACTGCGGAAGTTACAAGAGCTTTTTGGCGATGCTTGAAATTCAAATTTTTTCTCACTCAAACTCAACCACAAAAAGTTTGGTTTTCTATGGTTTTTGAAGATCAGACTTTGCTCTTTCCAACGGAAAAATAATTAACTTTCTAACACATCACGAACATGTAGAAATAATATTCGACATTTGTCCAATTACTTATGACTCGTAGGTTAGGACCTCAAACATACCGCTTTATTTTTCATCTGTCTCAATTCGGTCGATTTTATTACCTTATTTATGGTAGTTGTAAAAGATATAACAACGTTTTCGTTTTATTTGGTTGAAAAAGTAAGGCAAGGTAAGGTAAGGTAGAGAAGTTCAGAGAATTTCAGCTATGGTAAGGTAAGGTAAGATAGAAGCTCGGAGAATTTCAGATAGGGTAAGGTGATCTGGTCTCCGACGCATTGTATGTCACTGGTTTATCGGAATGTGGCAAATTAGACAAAGTAGCGGCTGTTAAAGGATAGAAACTAGCACTAATATCTTACAAAACTAAGTATGAGCTCTCAGAAAATAGTGGCTAACTCTCAGAGTGTATAGTTGGTTTATGTCTTATCTACTTACAACGTCAAATAAATCTAGCAGGAATGAATCAGCGCAAAAATACCAAACTAATTTACTATAGTTCTTCGTGTTCAAATGCTTATTGAATAAGACATACGTTGCAAATATGATAGGGTAGAAATTTTCTCTTTTTGACGCTGCTATCCTACCATAAAGAGACTGTGGCATCCTCTTCCATGGAATTCAGAAATCCTGCTATGATACACAACAAGCAGTATATTGTCAAATCCATTGAATGCCGATAGGATTTTGGCACAAATCTGTCGACTTCTGTATTTTCGTTCAACAGCATTTTGTGTAAACACATATACTTTCTCTCCGTGAGGGTACGCGTTTAATAACGATACATGAGAGAGCGATACATTCTCTCACTGTTCATTATCTTCTCCTTTCAGTTAGTCCTGTTCCTGTTGATAGAACAGTGCTTTGTCCTCGCTCTACTAATTTCACTTCACTGAACGTACTTTTTACCACATAATTTACTTCATCTGTCGCAAGAGAATTGTATGCGTGAGTTTGAATATCATTACGTCAAACAGCTATAGGTAAGCAAAACTCTGACGTTAGATGAGGATTCACTTCAGGTTTGCTAGAGAAACTACATCACGCGGCAGTTTGGTATTTGTAAGCGCGTGTTTTGAACTATACTGAAGACTTCTGTCACGAAGAGAGACAACTTCATCATGCAGATCGCGCATTTGGATTGGAATGAATGATGCGCCTCTGAATTTTGCAACAAAAACAGTAAAAAGAAGGATAAGGAGGAGCATTCACAAGCCAGATTATCATCTTGTTCTGCATGTCAACGTCTGCGGCTCAAGCTAAAATTCAGTTAAGATCTTATCATTCTCTCGATTCTTCACCTGATCTATTTTTATTATTTCTTTCATAATAATGAACAATAACACATTAAACAAAGAACTAAAGTCATCGTTAATAAAGAAATTAGAAAATATAAACATCCGTGTTCCATCATCAATAAAGAAGGCAGATTTGGTTGAATTACTATTATTAAATGCTAATAATTCAACATTAGAAGAACAAAAATTAGAACAAACATCATTTTCTACTACTGCTCAACATCAGGCGTATGATGATTCATCTTGTTTACACATTAACAAAAATGATGACTATATGAGTGAGAATGATAAAATGAAATTAATAAATCGAATATTAGATCAAAACCAGCAAATACTTGCTCAAAATGAATCTCTTCTATCTTTTCTACTATCTTCTAATTCAAATGATAAAGAGAATAAACAAACCAGATATCTTAATGCAACTGCGCCGGATTTCATTTCTCATCATCTAAATTCATCATTTTTATCTAATCGTCATTCTCTATCGCCAGATTTAGACCTAGGCCAATTAAAAATGTTATCTACGTCTCAAATGACAAATGAAAGTCAAAAGGAATTAACAGCAGCCCCTAGTTCACTGATAAATCAAACATCCAACAGTTCAGATTTAAAACAAAAAACAAACAAGATTATTTTAGGCGATAGTTTACTCAAAAATTTAGATCAAAAATTTCTCTCAACTCAAAATTGTAATGTAAACATTAGAACAAAGTCGGGAGAGAAATTTAGTAAACTAATTGAAAAAATTAAATCTAACTATGAAGAATTTGTCAAAGAATCGGACTCTGTTGTCTACGTTTGTGGGACAAATGATATTAGCGATGGTACTGTTAGTAAAACAATTGAGGAAGCGCAAACTCTTGTTAAATTAACTAAACAAACAAATCCAAATATTAAAATATCTCTAACATCCGTGCCATTTCGATCTCGTAAATTAAACCAAGGTGGATTCGATAAAATTAGTAATTATAATAAGCAATTGAAACAAGTATGTTTAGAAGAAAATGTCAACTTTATTAGATTAAATTTTGAACGAGGTATGTTGAAAGATGGACTGCATCCAAACTTTTTTGGTTGTCGTGTAATGTATGATAGATTTTCTAATTGTTTATGACGAGTAGAAGCACGTAGGGAAGATCGGGGTATTGAGGACAGCGCAAATCTCCATAAACCATTCCATCGTAAATCCCGAAATGTTTTGAAGATACTTTCACATAACATACAAAGTCTGCCAAAGTATATTGAGGAATTAAAATCATGTGTATTGAGTGAGAAACCTATGATTATATCGCTGCAAGAAAGTTTTACTGACAGCTCTATTTCTGATCAGGAAATTTCAATACCGGATTCCTTAATGTATAGAAATGACTTCACGCGTAAATCGCAAGGAGTAGTAACATACATAAGGCATGATATTCAACACTCTCTGCTTGCAACATCTCGAGAAGCTATGGCTATTATGCATGAAATCGCAGTTGGTGCATGTGTTTTTCTTTATTGTAACGTGTATCGTCGTCCATCTTCTAAAAAGCTCTATTACGATAATCTCCTTAGTTTTCTTCTCCAAAACGTAAAGAAGGATGTTGCTCTTATTTTGGCTGGTGACTTTAACGTAAATACAGCAAATCCGCCCGCGGGTCTTAAACAAATTCTCCAGTCTTTTTCCTTAGTTCGTGCTTTTGATATTTCAACAACCCACAAAAACACAAGAATTGATAACATTTTTTATCCTGCTGAATGGGAGACGCCAATTACAAAAACAAAACCTGAGCTAGGGAAATCACCGCATTTTATATTGGATGCGGAATTCAACTTTAATGTTGAAAATAAACAAAAAGAGGATCAATTTGTCTTTGACTACGAGAACTGTGACATAATTTCTTTGCGTAGAATGCTTTCTGAAATCGATAATAAATTCTATCTTTCGAATGACGTTGATGAAATGACAGACACACTTTTAGACCATTTTTCTAAATGCATTTCAGTTTGTGTACCTTTGAAAAAGGTTTGTACACAAACCAAATCTGCGTTTCGTCCTTCAAAAACAACTAAAAAATTAATTAAAGAAAAGAATAAAAAATTTCAGAAGTTGAAACGTGCACAGTCATTACAAAATACTATTGAATATAAAAAGATTAGAAATGAAGTCCTAAATGCACTACGCAAAGATAAACACTACCATTTCAATAAAATTAAATCACAGTTTTCTGATTCCAAAAAGTTTTGGACTAGTTTAAATAGATTTAGAAAGAGTTTTGCGGATTATCCTAGTCGATTGGAAAATGGTACTGTTCATGCATGCACAGATAGTGAGAAAGCAGAAATGTTTTCAAAGTTTTTTGCTAGTTGTTATCAGTCTTCTTCTCCATCAACTACTAACACCGTTACTACTAATAATCACTTACAGAACAACACGAAGCCCCATAACTCAACTAACAAAAATTTTAGAAGAAAAAAGGGTAGCATTAGGAGTTGCGTTTGATTTTGCTAAGGCGTTTGATAGAGTTAGTCATCGAGTATTATTAGAAAAGTTAAGTAGAGCACAAGTGACCGGTAGTCTTTTTGAATGGCTTTACTCGTATTTATCGGATAGAGAGCAAATTGTAGTAATCAATAATAAGAAATCTAAAGCAGCAAAAGTTACATCTGGCGTGCCCCAAGGGAGCGTCCTTGGCCCTTTACTTTTCTTGATTTTCATAAACGATTTGAATGAGAAATTTCCTTCTACAGTAACAGCATCGCTTTTTGCTGACGATGTTTTTGGTTTAATTCCTCTTCAAAATTTTAACGATCTCTCAGAAGTTCAAAAGTTCTTAGATATCATGTCTGATTGGTGTGTAAAAAATGAGATCGATTTAAATACAGAAAAATGTTTTTATATGCCATTTTCCAATCTTAAACTTCCTGATCAATATCCTCAACTTTATGTTTCTGGGAAACCGCTTTTATTAGATAAAAACATTAAATTGTTAGGCGTGTATCTTTCACCAGATTTGACCTGGAAGTATCATCTAGAAAATATCAGTAAAAGATGTAGACAAATGCTAGGAGCGATGAACAGAGTTTTCAGGTGTGCGCCAGAGTTCATACGTCTTCATATTTACAAAACGTGTATATTACCAGTAATGGACTATTGCTGCATTGTCTTTGACAACGACTTTAAGACGTACTTAGATCTACTAACATCTGTACATAAGCTGGCTGCACGATTGATCACTAATAACTTCTCTACGAGTAGTTCTGTACTTATTAATAAACTTAAACTACCAGATTGGGAGAATCGGAGGAAATACTTTAGATTAATCTTTTTTCATAAGATTATTACTGGTCGAACTGCACTCGCTTCATTTTCATTAATAAAACCACTAACTACTAGAACCTCAGCACGAGCTTCAGATAAATGTCTTTGGCAGATATCAAAATTTAAACGAAAAACTACGAAGTCATCTTTTCTGCCTCGAACTACACTCCAATGGAATGCTCTACCTAGAGAGATAATTGCTGCCTTCTCTACTCGATCATTCAGACGTGCTTTAGGTAAACATCTTTGTTTATTGTAAATGCATTGTTGTTCTTAAGCCATCTTTTTTCCTCTTTTTTTCTTTTTATCTCTTTCGTTCATGGTGCTGACCTAGTCAAAGTTTCTCACTTAACTTTTTGTCAGTACCACTGTCAATTTAACATCCAGGACATGAAATAAATTTGATTTGATTTTGAGCTTCAATAATGCTTTCACACATCATGGAATTTAAACTCAGTTTACAAACTTTAAAGAAATAATATTCACAACTATCAGAATCCGCTGTTTCTCATCCGTCTCAAGCGTGACTACCTTTTATTAGCCACAGACTTAGACATAAAGCCCGGGAGGATAAGTGTTCTTTGTTTCTTACAAATAAACAAACTAAATAGAGAGAGATTATCTTATTAAAACAAACTCCTTTCAAACAAACTTCTGTTCGACCTTCATAGTTATTATCTTAGGCAGAAATTAACATATCTTCAAATATCTTATTCGTTTTTTAGCCATCGTATTTTTTCAAACAAAAAAGTGAATGATATTCTTAAACAACAAAATTTTCTTTTAAATGGTGAATAAGTGTGAGTTCTTATATTATCCATTTGTTGCTTGGAGGGACACATAATAATGTTTCGATTAAATTTGCCGAAAGAGAGACGAAGAGAAAAATCTTAATTATGTATATGAATGCACAATCCGACAAGTATTAAAAAACATTCAGAATAAAGCATTTTTGAATGAATCCATTCTTCTATCGTTCGCGTTGTTAAGTTCGTTCGATTATCAAAATGTCTGCTGTTTACTTATTTCTATGCTCTGTTTCCAGTTCATACTCGGCTAAACCAAAGAATCTCTTAACATATAAAGTATCGAAAAACCTAGCATGCTCCATGTGAAATCGGACATTGGATATATGTACTCGTGTCTGGAAGGAAATTCGTTGGTAAACACTCAAAATGTGGCTGAAATCCAAAGTATATTGAACGAGTTTGAAAATCACGTTCATGAGAAAATGAGGGTTAAAACACCCAAATTGTCGGTGGATGAGATTATTGCTATGAAAATACATATGAACGATTCGCCACTAGTGATCGCAAAACTGACAAAGGAAATGCGATCTTTGTGATGAATAAATCTGAATACCTCTTGAAAACTCGATCTTAGACGAAGCGCACGTTGAACGAAAACTCAACAGATGAGTGTGAAGTACAATTTATTAGATTTTTATTAAACTAAAAAAGCAAAAGTTGTTTGGTGATGTCAATTATGAAAAGACGTGACCAGAAACAGGCTCACGTACATCTACTACTTTCTTGTCAAAATGCACAGATAGAATCTTCCTGCTGGGCCAATCAATTCGGATTCTGGTTTGTGTAATTATAACACTGAAAAATTTCTCGTTAATCTACGCTCAAAGGCTATGGATGACGCTTTTTCATACGTCACAGATTCATTCGATTTTATTGATAAAAAAACAGAATAAATGAAAAAACGGCATAATGTTCTCGCTAAACGTTTCATTAACATTTTACATGCTGTTAAAATCATCGACTGGCATCGCTATCCTAAATCGGCATCATCAAGCGAAATTCGATGTGGTCGACAAAAATCTGCCAGAGATATTCCTATGCTGTACTGAAAGAACAAATTTACTTTTAATAATCGACATTATGATGAAATAAACAGAGTATCAAAGGGAAATTCATCTGACTGTATCCTCGCTCACAATCGAGCGATCTTAACAATGCGAACGATAGAAGAAAACCTTCTGATGGATTCATTCAAAAAATGTTTAGTCTCAAAAAAGCTTTGTTATGAATGTTTTTTTAATGCGTGTGGAGTTGTGCATTGCTATACATCATTAAAATTTTTCTCTTCTGCTCTCTTTCCGCATTGTTTCCGTTTTCTGTTCTGTTTTTTCACTTTATAAACTGATCATTCGACTGATGATTTTAGTAAATAACTGACGCAACATTTCGATAAATAATATTACCTTATCATGTAAAAAAGATGACTTCACTCTTAGTTTCTTTATTGAAAATTTATCGGTTTTTTTCTTGATAGTTTTCTCCTCTGAGACAACGATCGCTTTCTCTATTCTAATGGAATTAACTGTGACAAAAATCGTGAATTCTGGAAGAGACAAAAGGTTACACATATTCCATGCTGTAGTATCACCCCAAACTGTTTGACAGGCAAGATTTAAAATTGATCACAAAGATCAGAAAATCTCACTTGTCCGCATGTTTGTAGAATGAAAGTCTTACTGTCGTTTAAGTTCGCACCATTCCTGTAAAACACACAAACAAATTGCGTGACTGTCACTTTGGTCTACTTTGTTCTGACCTGCTGAAAAAGTGTTTTTGATTATTCATGCTTGCAAGCTATATCTTTGGGTGAAATAACAGTGGTGCGGAATATATTTTAACAATCTTCTTACCTTCTTCCAATCCCCATGTTCCACCGCCTTTCAATTCGGTCACCGGATATTCAACTAAATAAGTTCTTGGTCTAAATTCAACATGTGCGCCTAATGCATCGCCTATTGCCATTCCAATAATTGAACCAGCTATTTTCTTTGAGGAAATATTTCCATTGTGTTTCATTTCTGCTGGTAGTTGGAGACACCACTCATGTGGTCGAATAATCTTATCATTGTTTTTCTGTAATCCAAGCCATTCTTTATCTTTTCCTGCAAATAAAAGCAGAGGTGATCACTATCCTTCATCGAAACAACGCTCACGGGTATCTTTCAGTAATTTTGATCGCAAGTAGATGGGTACCCTAAATTACCGTCGATCAACAGGCAGCGGGCGAGAGTGCTTCCTACGAGAAAGAAATTCCAAAATTTTTTTTCAATATAAGATTTTGAATGGTTCTTTCAAAACCTATTTGGGTTTCCCAACTTTGAAACTTATTGTCTTTTTTAAACGGAAACTGTCCAAAGTGTAGACTGTCAAAAGAATGTGTCTTTATAAAATACTCTGATGACGTCAAAATGCGTCCGCGGTACGTAATGAAGGCACGTCATGTGCATTTTCTCATATTTTCTTACTGCTAGTCGCCTTGATATTTTAATAAAACATCTCTAAGTTGTTGCCTTTTTCAAGAAAAATAGTTCAGATGCTTTCGGAACACATCACTAACACAGCACAAAGACGCGAGACACTAGCTTTGGCCAAGATATCCGGCAGACTATAAGCTATGGATAAATCACGTGATCGCATTTAAGCCATCGGAATACATCGGGACTCTTGTTGCGCCACTGTTCGCGCCAAAATGCGAAAAGTGGTTTGAATAAAGAGACACTTTGCTGCTCGTACATTGATTCAATAAGCCGTTCAGAAAAAAATTTGTTCAGTGTATAAAAAATCGATTTTCCGACAAAGATAAACCCTTTTTGATGCATTTCTCTGAAGTTTCGGCAACGTCAAATTTTTGTTAGAACTGCCAGAGGAAAAGTGTAACATATTGCAGCTATCGCTGTGAAGACAGCTGAATCATGAGTGATTCTGTCGGCTGGTGTATACGATCCAAGGTATTGCAGAAACAGACCCGATTATGAATCGTCGTATGCGAATTATAGCATGTGGCTACGAAAAACTAGGATTTTCGCGCTGCTATCACCCTAGAAAACAATTTCAAACTCGAAGACGCCTCTAGGTGTGGACTATTCATCGGCGAAAACAGAACACTTATATATTTTCGATGAAACTTTATTTACAAAAGAACCGATTTTATGTCACACACACATTAATTAGTGAAATATTTATAACTCACTCCGAATGATTAGAATGAGTCAAAAAACCAAGGGGAAAAAATCTCACTTCAAGTGTGTGCACTTATGATCGAAGTGACACCTGAAGTGCCGAAGTGACACTTGAAGTGCTGAAGTGACACTTGAAGTGCCGAAGTGACACCCCAAGAGTGTGAGTCAGTTTTAGAGCGAACGTAGTATTAGTTTATATTTTGTGCTTTTCTGACTGTTTTTCTCTTCTCTGCCGAAAATCGCGATCGGAACTTTGAACCTTGCTGTAAGATTAATTAGACTTTGGTTAAAACCAACAGGCAGATATACCTGCTATCCGCGCCAAAATTCAATGCACTCGGTTGTTTTCCGTAGGCAGATAGTCCAAACTGTCCTCCTCAAAATGGGAACTAAGCAAACTCTTGAGTTTTCTGGTTCAGACGTGGCATCGGATTGGCTGAGAGTCCCAGACATTTCTTTAGGTGTAGTAATTTCGAAAATAATGAAAACATACGTAATCAACCACGCTGAATCTCGTGACTATATTTGTTTTTCAGAAAATCTGCAACAATCTAGTGAAAAAGGTGGAATAACTAACTCATCTTTATCTATTTTCGAGTATAATTAAAAAATTCATAATCCAGTCAAGCTCAATCTAAATTATGTTCGAATATCAAGATGTACTCGATGTTACCTGCTCAGTACTATGCAGTTCAATGAAAGCTTTATAAATCAACAGATGACTTTTGAAAAGTTTTCTAGAAATCTTTCGAAGTACAAGAATGTTTTTTACTATTCGGAAGTAAAAAATCATCTTGAGCAGGTAAAATAGAGTACATCTTGATATTCTGGCATAATTCAGATTGGTCTTGACCCGATTATGATTTTTAATTATATTCGAAAGTAGGCAAAAATGAGTTATTCCACCTAACATAGATTTGAAGAGTGATTAAAGTGAGACATTCACCGGCTCTACACGATCTTTTGTTGCAAAGTTATGGAATTTACAAGAAAAGCCCTAGATTAATTTCTTCTTATTTCTGTAGCATTGATCCGACGATGGACATTTCGGGCTTTCCTTGTAAATTCCATAACTTTGCAATGAAAAGTCGTGTCGAGCTGGGAGATGTCTCATTTCGTGACACGACATTACCGCGAACGACAGTGCCACGAATACAAAAAGCGACATTACCGCGAACGACAGAACCGCGAAGACTCGTTTACTGGAAAAGAAAAATAAGTGAGCCTGGTTTGTGTTTTTTATATCATGTTTTCAAACCTGGGCGAAGTTATGTAGTTAATAGTCATTGTGTGGTACAGTTACAGATATCCAGTTTCATTGCTTATCGTGTGTGGCCGGCTTTCTCTTTGGTACATGATAAACTGAAGCTCACTATTCATAGCAGTGTGGAACACGTGACACGACCTTTCCGCGAACAGGACCCCGACTCTTCCACAAATTTTACTATAGTACACATTTGGACATTTGGATATTTTGGCAGTGTTCGCAGGAGGCGTGGGAGGAGGGAGATGATATAAGGACTAGTCACCACATAACTTCAGTTAAGTTTGAAATCTTTTTCAATAAACAAGTCTTCACGGTAATGTCGTTTTTTGTATTCGTGGTACTGTCGCTCGCGGTAATGTCGCTGTATCGTCTCATTTTAATCAGAAATTTGCGGGCTACACTCATGTCTTATTAAAAAGAAGTTTTAGTTATTCTTTAGAGTTTCTGAAAAACTGGTTTTCCAGAAATCGGATCTTCAAAAGTCATGGGGGCAAATCTTTTAGGATATTTACTACCTCACTGAGGTCTATCAACCCATGTACAAATCTTTGGAATCGGAAGGGGACATCTGAAAGGTTTCCTGATAAGTGTCACCTTAAGTGATAAAGTGTCACTCAGAGTGAGCGACATTTCGAAGTGTGTGCACCAAAACTGGAGGTTATTTCTCTCTTGGTTAAAACTCTGAGGATCCACAAGTCCTGTAAATGGATCGTGTAATAAAGTAGTTAAAAAAGTAATACGAGAGTGTATATTGTACCGGACTTCAGGCTGGGCATTCAGAAATATTCTGGAAATAAGATGTTTTCTCACAACTTAGTATATGATCGTCACACTATAATCCAAAATGTTTAACTCATTCCGAATTATTCTATGTGATAAGTTATGAATCTTTTAGTTTGTAGTGAAAATAAATGAAAATCATGTATGTTGCCTAAAATAGTTTTGAGCAAAGTTCTGAATTTTTTCTGAAAAAACCATATACTATATAAGATGTATTATTAACAATCAACGAGCCTATCAAATTCTAAATCAGGTTACCTCTCGTGCGATATTAACATCTTTAATGTGAATGAAACAGCGATTACAAGTTATTAAGTGGACATCATGCTCATGACTATTTCAGTATACATGTGATAGATTGGCTAGCGGTGTCTTTCGATTATACCGACATACTTTATTGTCAAAATTTACATTTTATTCTTTTAGGGTTTTTCTGAAAACAAAGCAATTCATATACTTTTAATTCTTCTTATTTCATACATTTGTGTCGGTTCGTAGCTGAAATGTCAGGAAAGAAAAAATTATATTTGATGTTTTTCTTTCTTTCTTCTTTTAATGTGTGTTGAAGGACTACAGTAATGTCGCTCGGTAGTTGCCATAGAATCATTTTTTACAACTAATTCTTACCCTGTAGTAACTGATGACGTTAGATGACAGTGATGAAAGCAATAAAGAAAAACAATGAATATTTGGATTAGAAAGAAAATATTGATCGACAATCTCTCGAAGTATATTACATAAAACAATACTTCTTTTTCTTCGCAATAATTCGAAGAAGTATTTAACATTGACTAAGTTTTATGTTTGCCTCTGGTTTAGCGTAAACATGGTGGCAGTCATGCTTAGTAATCTGATGAATATGTCTACCAATTAAAGAGGATTTAGAACAGCGACGCACCCAGGGTTTCAGTAAGGGATGGACCAAACCTTTTTTTGTAAAAAGTTCTTGTATAGTATTTTTATTTTCCATTTCAATCAAAATACTTTTTCTACTTTTAATTAAAGAAAACGAATTTTCTAAGCCTTAACGTCGCTGGTTGGTTTAAGCTTTAATCTTGAACCAGAACGAAATCGAGAATATAAATTCCCATTATATCATTCTGAAACTTAAACTATCAAAACACAAAATCAATCCTTGCACGAAGCTAGGATCGAACACACGAACCTGATCTTTGCAGACGAACGTCGCTGGTTAAGAATCGAGAATTATTTAGCTAGTCATGAAATATAACTTTAGCGTCGTTGCTCTCATATTTTTCATTAAATATAGAAAATCTGTGACTTAGCGCCATTGACAAAATTTTTTGGCTGACGCTATTGTCTTTTAACATATCTTCTACTGTGAAAACGAAAAATGGACTATAATGTACATCTGGGTGAATCCCTCCTCAGAATAGGCACCCTGTATGTAACGAAATTTTTTCTAAATCGTGTTATAAAAAGATAGGAGAATTATTTCGAAAAAATGTTTTACGTATTGAAGGATAACAGAAGATCATAACCTTCTATTTCAGAAGAGGGGGCATTGACGACAAAACGTTGAAGTATATGAAACGGAAATATGGACTCTCAAATCTTCTGTCGTAACAAATGCTCGCACATGACATAGCTTTGACACAATGGAGAAAAGTATATGAAGAAAAAACAATTATAAAGTCAGTAGAGCAAATGACATATTTTCGTACCTTTCACTAGCGTTTGTATATGTGTGTTTTTAATATCGACAACTTGTTGGCTACTTCGACTGCATCCCATCGAACTGACTCATATGCAAGAATAATGATGTTTTAACAAATCTCCATTCAGTTGAATCCTTTCACCTTTTTTTCTTTTATAATGACACACAGCAACATACATTACAGAACAGAAAAAAAATTCATCGCCATTGATGAATGGTATTCTCGACAACAATCTCTATAACAAAACGAAAAACATGTAAAACTTCTGTTTACTCAGGAAGTAAGTGGAGAATAGAAACAATGTTGTTGCAAAACGCAGATATTACCTACCGTTAGTCAAACTCATAAATGAGAACGATCATCTGCGGAGTGATTAATACTATGATAACATTTGAATGCATTTCAATTATTTTCCATTCAGAAATAATAGTAGAGGATGTTTTGAAAAGCAAAATTGATTATTTTAGAGGGTAAAACAACCGCAACCGATGTGACTTTGGACTTTTTCTTAAATATCTGAAGATGAACTTCAGGAATATACACAATCGGTATTTTTCAATTTAAACAAGCGAAGTTCTATGCAATCGAGCACATATCAGAAAATGAAGAATATATTCAAGTGTGTGCTGAAATTAAACAATTATTAAGAGCAAATAGCGAAGCGAGACATCTCAGTTTTATCGAGGCTACGACGTTCTCAATAAGTATGATGATAAAAAGTTCATTTCTCACTCTTTCCTAGTGAAGAGAGTGTATACACTCTCTTCCATATATAACGTAGCGTTATAATGCTACGTTATATTTATTACATATGGCAAAAGGGGCGACTATTCGCCAATTGCAACAAAAACAAAATTTGGGGCGGACCATAACGTAGGATGCTGTATGCATTATGGTCCCAAGAATGTGAGTTTTATTGAATTGTGAGGATGAGTTTAACTTATTTAATTGTTGATAGTGGTCGAGCGATATAGCACTTAAAAGCTTCGCTGCGTCCACGGCCAAGAATTTGGATGATGTGATCAGGTAAACCGCAGGCGGAGGCCGTCGTAGCAGCGCCACGACGAATGCCTTGAGTATTCTTAAGCTAGTAGACGAAGATGGGACAAAATCTGATGAACCTTTTGGACTAAAACTGCTATTGTCAAAGGCAGATGTTCTGGTGTTAGAAGCAGGAGGTACTCAGAAGTAGCTAATAAATTTGATCGATTGTTAAAAAAACGAATTAACGTTGAAACTGGACAAATTCGTACAAAAGTCGAAAACAGATGTATTTTTGCTCCTTTTTTGAAAGGATCGGTTTTCGTACTTCTTAGTAAGAGAGTCGCCATTGATGATTAAGAATCCATTTCGATATCCTTAAATGAACGATTTGTATGGCTTCTCAAAAACAGCGGCTGATATAAATTTGCTTGTTCTCAGAAAACAAAAAAAACAATTATAAACTGGCCATCTGTATTAGGAAGAATTTCAAAATTCTTGCCGTTCTCTCTGCCGTAGTATGTTTTATTGTTAGTATTGGCTATTAGAGGAACTTTCCGTTATTTTCTAATTGATTTGAAGACTTCGTCAAAGATAATTTACCGCTATATTTCAAAAGATTATTCTTGTATTAACCTATCAAAAATATATATACTTTTCTTTTACAGTTTATTCCACTCTGATACTATTTAGACTTTTCTATAAAAGGATTATTCTGTTTTTCTGTTTAAAGGATAAAATAAGAAAAGAACAAATTTTATATTTTCATTAGATATTCATCTCTTATATATTCAGAGAGAATAGTGCTCACTGTAAATTTATTTCGTGTTGTGTCAACTTTGCGAACTAAAATTACGTTAATTAGAGAAGTTTCATTCTCATTTCTTCTACTAGGTTAAAGTACACGAGTTATACACGATAGTGACCTATTTTTTTAGAAAAGGATCCATCTTAGTTTTTGAGATATATGGCTGTGAATATCGCTGATTATCGTATAAATAAGCAAGCTTTTCAGTGACTTTCAAAATGTAATGTGTATGTAAAATGTGATGTTCAAAATTTTGAGTAAGCGACCTTGATTTATATGTGAGTAAAAGTCGGTCATAGTGTTATACAACAGAGCATTACGTATTCACACATGCGTTAACTGATTTTATTATGCTACTTGTAGAAATTGTTAAACATGAATAACACCGAAGTTAAACCTCTATGTATGTCTAAATAGTTGTTGCGTTTCTACTTTGTTTGTTTGTTTTGTTTGTTTTTATTTCAACAACAGCAGTTTTGAAAAAAAAGAGTAAACTTTAGTATTACAATAAAAAAAAAAAAATTTTAACTAACACATAAACATGTTGTCAGGAAAGCAAAAAAGGTTTTAAACACCTATCAAAAATTGCCACCTTTTTATCCTATTTTTTTTTTTCCCTCTTCACAGTTGTAAGTGCTGCCTCAGTTTGGTTTTGAAAGATTTTATTGTTGGCGAGATAACTACAGTGTTGGGGAGAGAGTTCCAATCGCGAGTTGCCCTATACAAAAAAGATTGTAGAACAGTGTCAGTGTGCGCAAACGGGATAAAAACTTGTCTGTTATGCTGTAATAGACGATCGGATCTTCTACTCACATCAAACTGTATAAGATTGAAGCGAGATAAGGGTGATAAGCCGTTAAGGACTTTAAAAAAATACATTAGTCGGAAATACTTCCTTAGCACGGAGAGTAAAGGTAGTTTTAGTTTTTCGACAAGGGCTTTTCCTGGTGTATGAAAATCACGTGTGATCATGTGAGCCGCTAATTTTTGAACTGATTCAAGTTGACTTTCCAAATTAGCAAAGTTATTGTCGTACAGAGCACAAGCGTAATCTAATTTAGCTAATATGCAGGTTTTATAAATTTGTAGACGAATTGAAGAGGGTGCATCTTTAAATTGTCTGTACATAGCGCCTAGTCGTTTTCTACAATTTAGTACAACATCTTCAATATGTTCGCGCCATCTCAGATTAGAACTGACTTTAAGGCCTAAGAGTATAAGGGAAGGTTGATGTGTTATGGTTGTACTATCACTCAATGTGAACTGTAAATTATTAGCTCTACTTGGTATATTAGAGACAAACATCCAGGCACATTTATTTGCGTTTAAAGACATCAGATTTGAGGTACACCAGTTACATATTTTCTCAATATTCTCTTGACATACAGCTGGCATATCAGACGAGGCCATTGGACAGTAGAGTGTACAGTCATCAGCGAAAAGTATGCTGTCTGCTGGTAATTGGACTACAGTTGGTAGTTCATTTATGAAAATAAGGAAAAGTAAGGCACCAAGAACTGAACCTTGTACTACTCCGGAGAGCACTGGCGTAGGCGTAGATAAAGCAGCGCCAACACGTATTTGCTGAAAGCGGTTAGTTAAATAACTAGTAAACCATTTTAGCACATTCGATGACAAGCCTAACAGCTCTAAACGCGATAGAATAATTTGAAACGAGACCTTATCAAAGGCTTTTTCTAAATCAAATGCGACCAAGATGGTATCTACTGGTGGTTGTGTATTTAGGTTCTTTGTCGAGTTATTTAATAGGTAAAGAAGTGCATCAACGGTTGAGGTCTTGGGCCTAAAGCCAAACTCGTTATTTGAGAAAAAATTGTTTGAATTAAGATGGTTAGAAAGTTGATTATAAACGAATCTTTCAAGAATTTTACTAGCGATACTAAGGAGAGATATTGGTCTATAATTAGACACAATATTTTTAGGACCCTTTTTATAAGTCGGATTGACTGTAGCAACTTTCCATTTATCAGGAAATTCTCCTGTTTCGATGGATAATTTAAAAATATGATGCAGCTGTATAGAAATGATACTGACGTTTTTTTTTAATACAGCCGCTGGGATTTCGTCTGGGCCACATGCAACATTTTCGCTTAGGCTATTAATGGCATCGGTTATTTGCTCAACAGTCGGACATATAAGGTTCAGTATTAATGCTGGAGCGAAATCTACTAAATTATATTTACATTATTTCCGCTTGTCTAATCACTTGCTTTTTTAAACGATACTCAGCAATATTCACAGTCATATATCTCAAAAACTAAGATGGATCCTTTTCTAAAAATTAGATCAATAAAGAAACCGTCAAAGTTCTATTGTTCAAGTCTTGTTTGAAAGAGGGATGTTTACTCTATAAGATCATGTGTTTAGAATGATAATAAACTAAATTATCTAAGACTTAAAAATACAAAATTAGAATATTCCATATTTTAAGATATGCATTTTTTAATATATTTTTTAAATGTAGACCGCCCATATAGCAGTCCCAAAATAAATCTTGCTTCGTTTTGTAGAGCAGACAACTCTGCATCCATTCAGATACAATACGATGTTTTTAAACGCAAGCGTTATATACTTTTAACTCAAATAGTCGAGATAAGCATAAGCCATTCATGTTACTTTCCT